AGGTCTAACTCACCGAGTAGATGCATGTCTAGAAAAAGACAGACAGGAAACACACAGATGCTAGACCATTACCACACATTTACAGCTGTTACCGACCTACTTATTCAGCCTACTGCTAGTGGGGTGGGTGCAGTGACTTGGCAGTGAAAACCACACTGCTCCCTTGCCATGCAAGGAAAACTTGTTAAGTAACGGAACCCTTTTAAGCAACTGATGAGTCAAGAGCAGTCTTAATGTAAGAACAACACAACCGGGAAGGCACCAAATGTCTCGATCTCTAAAGGATTTTTAAAAGGAATGTTCAAAAAACAAAAGAAAAAAAAAAAAAAAAAAAAAAAGGTGATGATAGTACATGCCTATAATCCCAGTACCCTAGAATGCTGAAGCAGGACTGGAAATTCAAGCCCAGCTTGGGTAACTTAATGAGGCTCTGTTTAAAATAAAACAGGGCTGGGATGTATGTAATTCTGTGGGAAGGCCTTAGGTTCAAAAGGAGAAGTGAGGGGGAAAAAAACATCACTTGATTTTTCTCAGCCAGGCTCTCACTATGTGGTCTAGGTTGGTCTTGAACATTTTTTGTTAGCTTTTTCACAGATGAAGAAACAGAAGTCTGACAAGATTCAGTAACTTTTTCAAGGACTCCAACTAGAAGATGAATGTATCAGGAATTTAAAACTAGACTTCTATTATATTACACTCCATAAACAGGGATGTCTTAGATGCATAGCTCAGGGGACACAACTCTGTGAAGACCTTAAAACAAAAACTAAGGAAAAGAGAAGGGAACAGAAATATTTTGCTACATTTTCCAGATCTCTCTCTCTCTCTCTCTGCCAGGGTTTCACTAGGAAGTTCAGGCTGGTTTTAAATTCATCTTGTAAGCCAGGATGGTCTCAAACTTGCAGTGATCCTCCTGCTTGGGCCATCCAAGCGCTGGGATTACAGGCACGTGTTGCCATGCTTGCCCTATGGATCTATTACTTCTATTCCTAGGTTACTAAGCAGAAAATATTTCTGAAATCATGGAATTATGCTAATCTTAACTACTGCTAGCATAACAGTGTCTTATATTGGAATGCAACTGGAATATTTACAAGACTATTAAATCAATACATAATACTATAGTAAGAGTAGAGCATCTTGCGTTTTACAGAAGACAATGAGACAGACTACTACTGTTAGGTAATGTCTAGAATTGTTCCTCCAGTTAGTAAAGCACTGGATTTAAATCCAGGAAAGATTTCAACTTTAATTCTCCTTCCAATATACTTCACTGGCTCCACTCATATGTAACTTATGGTCTATTTCTTTTCAAAATTACCATATAAAAACAGATGCACTTTTAGCTAGCTGCAGTAGCACATACCTATATCTCAGCATTCACAAGGCTGAAGCAGGAGAATCCTCTTGAGTTTGGTAAGTTAGCTCAAGGCTAGCCTGAACTATACAACAAGACCCTGTCTCAAAAATAAAAAACAAAAAGCAACAAAAAACAGATGGGCCTTCCTACCTCCTTCAAATTTACAAAATAAGCATTTTGGTGGGCCTTTTCTTTACTATATTAAAATTTCCTACTCTTATTTATTTCTCTAATTTTAAAGGGTTTCATTTTTTAGAAATGAGTTATTATTTGACATTAACTAAAAAATGTAACCCAATCTTGCCAAGCAGCAACTATCATAATGGGTATGAGTCTTAGTATCTACCAGTCATTGTCTCAGCCCACTATGAAGCTGTATGTGAAATACTGAGCCCATTAAGTCAGAACCGTTTATATAATAACTTTCATCTCTCTCTCTCTGAGGAGTTTGTGTAGCATTAAAAAAGATACTGACAGTCTTTACAAGCAAGAAAGTGAGAAGAAAAGGATGCTCTTGCCTTTGCTACATACTTGCATTTGGCACATGCTGTGAAGCACAAAGTATGCATTCAATAAATGTGGACTGCTTGTCATCTAGAGTTAAACACTGAAATTACATCATTAAGTATATAACAGCAAGCCAACCTCCCCCTATTAGCTTGCCTCAGTATATTATGCTCAACAGATACACGGGGAAATTGTGAACACATGCTTGTCCTCGGCCCATAACTATCTTAAGTCAAAGAGGCAGTAGGTTGGAACAGGAGTTTCCTGACAGGATTTTCTTCATCAAAGTCTGCGAAGCTAGAATTTCAGGGCTGCATGCTTTGTTTAGCTTGCTGGATATTTTTAAAAACTATGAATTAACTGTCAACATTTAGAAATGGAGTTATTACACATAAAAATGAGAAGTGCCAAGCATTACTGAAGCTGGGTTGAAGAGAAGAGCTGAAAACAAGATGAATTGAAAACATGTCCAAAGAGCAATTATGCCATCCTGGAGCCCACCTGCCCAGGAAAATGCTAACCTGACACCAGTAGAGGCCTGAGGGTTACCAAATGAAGTTGACCTAATGAGGCTTTAAAAAAGGATATGAATCACAGCTTGGGGTAGAATTAGACAAAAACCTATGAGATTCACAGCTTCATTCCCTTATTAGGCTCTTAGAACCACAGTTTTAACTGCCAGGCAAATACTGTCCATGTAGGAGATAAGATTTCTCTTTTAGGAAACTAATTTCAATAGTAGGAAGTCTACAGAAAATGTTCATAATTAAAAACAAAACAAAACAAAAAAAAAAAAAAAAGAAAATGTTCATAATTAAAAACTCGAAAACATTATGAGCGTGTTACTGGAAAAGCTAGAAACTTGTGCTTTTTAAAAACGAGCTTTACAATGTTACTTGATTTAAAAATCACATACCAGTATTACTTTAATAAAATAAAATCTTAATTACAAATATAGAAGTAGAGAAAAAAGAATAAGAAGAAAGCATAGGAAGAAAGATTCATGAATAAGAAAAGAAAAAGAGAATGTCGGTGGGTCCTATCAGAATAGTGGTAGGAAGACTGAACCCCCAAATGAGCGAAGGCTTGCTAAAAATAGTCTAAAAAGATGCATTAATCAGCAGAGCAAGATGACAATCAAAGGGACAGACTTTCTGTGATTTATGATGTAATGCTGAAGAGAAATACAGAAAAAACAAACTCAACAACCAGTAAGTAAATCCAGTAAGGATAATCCTAAGGTCCTGTCCAATGTACATAGAAACCCAAGCGCCCAGGACCAGCCATAGTCTATGTAGAAACAATGCATTTCTAGCCAACTCTAAGTCAATCATGGGTTTTGTTGCCTCCAAATGGCTTACGTGATACAGACTGCACTTTTTGAAGCATCATGTAGCACACTTTAGAATAAGTAAGACAAAGAGTTTAAATTAATCCTTAAACAGAGGGGTAGGACAAATTCAGAGAAATCATTATAGCAAAATAAACCAACATCATTTCTTTGAGAAACAACTAGATAAACTTGAGGGTACCATCTCTGAAGAACATCTAGAAGAAGACACGACACCTGCTTTATAAGACGGAGAATATTGGGGATAGGGGATACAGATGCACGGGAAAAAGTCAGGACACAGCAAAAAAGGGGGCTCCTGTAGGCTAAGGAGCAATGCTTCAGGAGAAACCAAACTGCTGGCACCTGAATTTTATACTTCCAGTCTCCAAAAGTGTGAAAAAGAAATCTCTGTTGTTTAATTAAGCTACTCAGTCTGTTGTGCTTGTTACTGCAGCACTGGTAGACAAGTATTCTAAACTCTTGAGGCACTACAGAAATGACCAGGAAGAGAAAAACCCACAATACTAATTCTTTTCTATTCTTTCTTTATAGAAATGTGAGACATTCCAGAGAATAGTGCTTGAAAGGAGTGGGAAATTACCCACTTTCTATTTTAACAGTCACTATTTTAATAGTCAAAAGCTTTTTAAAATCAGCTGAAACACTTAGTAAGTCCAGAGATCATTTCTCAGCTAGTCAGTCTAGTATTGCAAAGATAGGAGACAACCCACAACAACCTGTACTGTTATAGCATCACTTTGTTCAGACAAACTGCTGCTGTTCCATCTGCTTATGCTGCTTCATTGATGCTTTCCAAACTCCGGCAGGGGAAACGCCCTTCTTGAACATGTTTAGTAACTAAACCACTGTAACTGGACAGTTTATGCCAAAAGTGCCTCAGCAGGTTTTGAAAGGCAGATGTTTGCTAACAATATTGCACAGCCAAAACTTTCCTTTGTCTACTGTTAAACAGTAGACAAATACTGAGTCATACACTTGGCCTAGATTTCTATTATTTTTCCAGTGGCCATTTTCCAGCTTGATGCCATGTATCACCTAGAGCAGATGGCCATATCGAGATTTCCTCAATACAAAAAAACCAGACATTTTTCCAAGAGATTTTTTTTAAAATCAGTACCAGGGATTGAACTGACGACTGCGTGCTTGCAAGGCAGGAGCTTATGCTGCTGAGCTAAATCCCCAGCCCCAAGACATTTTTTTACCAGCATGTAAGAAAATACCAGAAGACATTATTATCAAAAATAAGGATGGATGATTCAGTTATTTGAAGGCTCAGGTGGTTTATATCTAATTTTATGAAAAGTTACTCTTTTCTCAGAATATCTTTAGAGCAAACTCAGAAATATTCCCTTGATGTCTGAGGTTCTCAAAACCTCAGGAAATGTACCTGTCTGTCAACAGAGAAAGCCTCCCTTTAGCTAACATTACCAGGGAGACCAAAGGAAAGGAAGAGCCCTAACAGCTGTTTATAACATTATAAACAGAAATGTGGAGATGGGTAACAAAGGAAAGGCATGTAAAAGCAAGATAAAAGTTATTTCAAGTGTGAAAATAAGAGGAGACAGGAAACAGAGATCTACAAAAAGTCTTAAAACGAAATTTCTTCAGAGAAGAAAAAAAATCCCTAAGCATCATTTTTATTTTAAACTTTCCTTTGGCCGTTTTTCTGATAAACTGTTTATTATGTTAAAAGAGTGACAGATCTGTCCTCTCCAAGCATTACATAACAAAAGTCAATACAGCCAGCCATAACAGTGGGTTCATAGGTTGAAGACATACCTGCTTCTGGATCTGCAGGGATTCTCCACATGTACAGGTTGAAGTCATCAGAGCCTGAAAGGATATACTGTTGGGACAAAAATTTTATATTTTATTTTATAATTGGATATATTGTTATCCAATTATAGTATATAACAATAAATACACAATACACATACTGACTTATTATATATCTATATCTTTTTATGTGTACAAAGAGAGACTTTTAAAAAATAAACATGATAAACAGGCATGCATTATAAGGTACCACACAACAAACATTCTCATAAAAATACTTGCAAAGGGGCTGGGGATTTAGTTCAGCAGCATAAGCACCTGCCTTGCAAGCAGGCGGTCGTGAGTCCAATCCCCGGTACCGATAAAAATGAAAAAGACAAAAAAAAATAAAAAATACTTGCAAATCAAAAAGCTTGCTGGCTAAAACTCAGCAAATAAATAAAACTTTAAAATGGGTGAAGAATTTGAATAGGCATTTCTGCAAGATGATGCAAGCAGCGCAAAAGTACAGGGAATGATGTTCAGTATCACCAATCATCAGGGGAATACAAATCAAAATCATACTATAAGGATGGCTATTACCGGAAGATACCATCACAAATACTGACCAGGGCCAGGCGTGGTGGTACATGCCTGTAATCCCAGCACTCAGAAAGCTGAGGCAAGAGGATCATCACGAGTTTGAAGCCAGCCTGGGCTACACAGTAAGTTCAATACTACAATAGTGAGATCTTGTCTCAAAACATCAAAAAACAAGCAAGCAAGCAAGTAAAAACCAACCAACAACCAATCAAACAAACACAAACCATAAAAATAAAAAAACAAGTACTGACAAGATGAAGTGGAACCCTGTTACTAGCACAGCTAATTAGGAATGTAAAATGGTGCAGCCACCGAAGAAAACAGGCAATTTCTAAAGAACTTTAACAAATATCTGTATATTTGTTGTATATATCATGTCCATACATTAATTAGAATAGCCAAAAGGTGAAAGCAACCCAACTGTCCACTGGCAGATAAATGGGTTAACAAAATGTGGCAATACATTCAGTGGAATATTATTCAGCCTTAAAAAGAGAGAGAACTGAGATGAAGCTGATACTGTTGAAGGGTCATGGGCGATCCATTATGCAGATTAAGTATAACCGCGAGGGAGACCTCTCTTTACCGTGGCCAAAGACCCTATTGCTAATGTGAAAGGCTGGGCACATACATGGGCCATTACTGGAGCTGTGTGGTGTGTGGATGCTGACTGGGACACCAAGCATGTCTTCACTGGCTCAGCTGACAACAGCTGTTGTGTCTGGGACTGTGAAACAGGGAGCAGCTGGCCCTCCTCAAGACCAACTCAGCTGTGCAGACCTGCATTTGACTTTGGGGGCAACATCATCATGTTCTCCAAGGATAAGCAATGCTACTGAGCCAGACTGACAGCAATGAGCCCTACATGAAGATCCCTTGCAATGACTCCAAGATCACCAGTGCTGTGTGGGGCTCCCTGGGAGAACACATCATTGCAGGCCACAAGAGTGAAGAGCTCAGTCAGTTCAGTGCCAAGTCTGGAGAGGTAATGGTGAATGTAAAGGAGCACTCTTGGCAGATCAATGACATCCAGTTATCCAGGGACATGACCATGTCTGTCACCACATCCAAGAACACCACAGCCAAGCTGTTTGATTCCAAATCCCTGGAACATCAGAAGACTTCCCGAAAAGAATGTCCTGTCAACTCAGCTGCCCTTTCAACTACGACCATGTGGTACTGGGCAGTGGTCAGGAAGCCATGGATGTAACCACAACCTCCAGCAGGATTGGCAACATTGAGGCCAGGTTCTTCCATTTCGCTTCTGAAGAAGTTTGGAAGAGGCAAGGGCCATTTTGGACCTATTAACAGTGTTGCCTTCCATCCTGATGGCAAGAGTTACAGCAGTGGTGGAGAAGATGGTTATGTCCACACACACTACTTCGACCCACAGTACTTCGAGTTTGAGCTTGAGCCTTAAGAAGCTGGATCTCTGTCTAGGCCAAGGAGACTGCCCATGCAACGTTTTAGACTCTTAGAAATAAATTAATTTGATAATAAAAAAGGGAGAAGATTCTAATACATGCTACAATATAGGTAAGCCTTCAGGAATTATACTATGTAAAACAAGGCAGACACAAAAAAACAAATACTGTATTAAGAGACTCCACTTATGTGAAATACTTACAGTAGTGAAATTTCATAGTAAGTAAGTGGAATGATGGTTGCTCAGAGTTAGGGAAGAAGAGAACAGAAAGTTGGTGTTTAATAGTACAGAGTTTTGGTATGGGATATTAAAAATTCCTGAGATTGATAACAGCAAGGGCTGTGCAACAGTGAGTATATATTTAATGCCACTGAACTGTACATTTTTTATTTATCTCTTTTTGATGCTAGGGATAGATCCCAGGGCCTTGCACACACTATGCTCTTCCAGCCCCTTAACTGTGCATTTTTAAAGATTCAAAACAGTCAATCTTGTTTTACAAATATTTGACTACAATTAAGAAAACAAAATCAATGCAGAAAATACAAAGCAGGGCATTTCTTGACACTTTTTCTTTTTAAAATGGAAGGCCAAGCATCTTGAATTTTCTTGCTGCCAGCTGACATCTTTGAGCAGGAAGTACTGCCAACTCAGCCAAAGTGTCTAAAGCATAACCAATTCCTTTTCACGTGGCAGTTCAAACTGCTTGATCTCAAAAAGGTCACTATGCCAGATCTATCCTAATTTAGACTCATAAAAACATTGTCTAACATTGTTTAACAGTACAAAGAAAGCAGTTCTGGGAACTCATTTATTTCTAAATATTAACAAAACTGTTAATTTTATGTTGAAGTTATGATTATTTCCTGCTTTTTGGACCCATACGCTTATTTTTCTAGAAAAAGAAAGACCTATTGTTTTCTAGAGAAAACTTCTTACCTGAAAAGGGCATTGTGAAAAATTTCAAAAAATATAAATCCAATATGCATATCAATTCATGCTTCACATAAAGTACTAAAATGTAGTACTTTGTGTTACTAAAGTACTACGTTCTTTGTAATCATTGTATGTGTTTGTGATAAGGTCTCACTTGGTAGTTCAGACTGGTCTTTAATTAACTACATAGCCCAGACTGGCCTTGAAGTTGTAGTGATCCTCTTGCCTCAGCTTTCCAAGTATATGGGATGTGCATCACCATGCCTAGAGTTGCAAACAATTAAAAGTCAATTTACTAACCTTCAAAACATATGTGGAGGGGGCTGGGGATTTAGCTCAGCGGCATAAGTGCCTGCCTTGCAAGCAGGCAGTCGTGAGTTCAATCCCCAGTACCAATAAAAAGGAAAAAGACAAAAAAAAAAAACAAAAAAAAAAACAAAACAAAAAAAAACATGTGGAAACACGAAGGAGGGAAAGGCAGGTACATTTTAAGACAAAGCAAAGGCTATGTAAAATGTTAAAGAAAGCCAGGCAAGATAGCACATACCTGTAATTCTATTCTGAAAGGCTGAGGCAGCCTGAGCTACATTGGGACGTACATCCTATATCAAAATGAAAAGGCTGGGGATACAGCTCAGTATAGAAGCCCGGGGTTCAACCCCAGTACTGTCTTTACTCTCCAAAAGGCTGGGCACAGTGGAAAAAGGCAGTGCGCTATTTTCTCATCTGCAAAATGAGAGAACTGGAGCAGATGCTCTCTGCAGCACTCTCATGCTTACAATGACACATAGAGTAATAATCTGGATCCCTAAGAGTTATATCAAGTACAAAATATAAAACATGCAGGTATGCAGCAACCATTTTTATGTGGAAGTCGGTTGGTGCCACGATGAGAGATAAGGAGCGGGGTGATTCACTGAACTGGGGATGCAAGAGGAGAAAGATTTGAGCACTGAGCCAACTTCACAGCAAGGTGTAGTTTAAAAGGCAAAGGAATGGAAGGAACAAAGATAAAGCAATGGCTGTCTGCAGTCTACTTCTGTAACACGAATAGGAAACAGGGCTTAGCTTTCTCCTTGATATCCTGTTCCTATCCCTCAGGCCCTGCTGCTTTGTACACTTTGCCTGATCTCCAACTGTCAGCGTTGCATGTCTGTCTTGAGAATTTTCTCCAAATACTTTTAGCCAAATTCCCTAGGAATGAACGTAATTAGGAATAGTCCAACTTCCTTGTTCCCAGATAAAACCTGTGTTTGTGTTGTATACCCCCAGAGTCAATTTTCTGCTGCTCACAGTAGCTGGCTCACTAATTTTTTCTTCCTCTCCCAGTCTAAGATTTCTACTTCTCTGCCATTGTTTACTGCGCTTCCAAATAAACTAGGGGCACCTGAAACTTGAACCCAAATTAAAACAAAGGGGTGGGAAGTAAAGAACACAAAAGAACTGCCTACTAATTACATGTATATATGATTATGTAACATTTGTTACTCAACATCGTATTTCATGCTCTGTTTAAAGAGGCTATAAACTTCATACAGAATTCCTGCTTCTCTTCCTCTCTACTCAGACTCCACAAACTAAGTAAATAAAACATAAAAAGAGTAAGTAGAAGCTAGGCTTATCAGAAGTTTTACTATTTCACTGTGAGGGATCAGCACTTTCCTATTTGTTCAACTGTTCACTAAGGCAAAGCCCTGAAAAAGTAAAAGGGCACTCTCAGACAGAATGCTGACTCAGAAGACTACCTTAAAAGGAAGAAAACCTTCCTGCAGGGTTAAGGTCTGTTAGTTTTTATATGACAGCTCCTAAAATACACAGAAAATACTCAGAATGTATAGGCTTCCTCTTAGGGATAAGGACAGCAGTAAACTGCTCTATCTTTTAAAACTAACTCTTCCATCTACCATAAGAGAACAGCTCAGATGCTATCATAGGAAGGGTCCTGACCCACGGATGTGTAGGCAAGCTGTTTAGTTATTCACTCACAAACTGAAATCACAAAATGCTCTGTGGAATTCATTTATGGCATTTTGTGATTGTCTACTGGATCCCTACCAGCATTAAAAGTTAGCTGCTTTGGGATACTTCATTAACTAATACTTACTGAATGTCTCCTATAGGATAGG